AAAAGATGGGATTTGAACAAACACCTGGGAAATTCCCTCCTCTTTTGTGTTTTGGAGTGGCCTGCAGCACTGAGAGCTCGGAAGGTCCAGGGCTCAGAGAGCCTGTCTGCTCATCCCGTAGTATGGTTTCCCTGACTCAATATATTCTCCAGACTCTGCCAGAGATCANTGGAGTGGCCTGCAGCACTGAGAGCACGGAGGGTCCAGGGCTCAGAGAGCCTGTCTGCTCATCCCATAGTATGGTTTCCCTGACTCAATATATTCTCCAGACTCTGCCAGAGATCAGCTGCTCCTGCCTGTTTGTGAACATGCCCCTCTGCACAGCTTCATCTGGTCCACCACACACAGCCCCACACAGACAGCGTAGGAGTGGGAAGGAGCTGGGTTCTGAATTGAGTCCCGGGTCTGTACTCACTAGCCTTGTGAGCTTGGGCAGTGTTCTTAGCTTCCCACAACCCATTTTCTCATCTGAAAAATATGGGTGATACTGCTTTATTCATTGTTAAACATATATTTGAGTGTGAACCATATGTCACGCAGCATGCTAGGAGACAGAAGTGATAGAGACAGATATAGCTCCTGACAGTCTTGTGGGGGATTCCGGTGATTAGCAAACAGTTTCCATGAAGCCTGTGTGCCACCCTGGGTCTGCCTGCCCAGCGGTGTCACAGCGGGGGTGGGTGGGAGAATGGGTGGTATGGATCCCACAGTGTGTTTCTCCAGCTCCCACATCAGCCAGCTCCTGGCTTTTGGTCAATGAGGGTATTAGAGGAAGATTGGTAGTGGGAGGAAGGCAGAAACAGGATATTCAGCTTGCGCAGCAACAGCTGAATCTCCATTTTGGTTCTTCCTTCTGGCAGCCACCTTGGCTCCTGGGCTTGGGTCCCCCTCATTTCCTCTACTGTTTCTCCAGCCTCAGGCTGATAGGAATCTTCTGCCGTTACTGACCTCTGGGTTATTTCTTCAGTCCCACTGAGTTCTCACTTTGTTTCATTCCCTGGGAAACCAGTCCCTGCATTCAGTTCTTTCTGTTGGAAGAGGTCTCTGTTAGATCCTTACTGATATAACATGGTAAGCGCTAATACAGGGGAAGTTCAGGGTATTTAGTATAGGACATACAACTCTCAATCAGTAGGAGAAGGTTTTATTATTGATTTTATCAGTATTATTTATACTAATATTACCATTCCCAACATTACATTCTTTGCTTCAAGTTCCCTAGTCCTGCCCTGATTCAGTGGGCATTGGAAGCCAGCAAGCTCCCAAAAGCAGAAGAGGTGTGTGGTAGAGCACTGAGGGCACTGGAGGGACTGGTCCTGGCTGCATGGTTGGGTAGACATCAAAGAGCAGTGGTCCCTTGGACAGGAGGGCCTGGGCAGGGTGTGCAGCAGGCCAGCTGAGTTAGGTAAGCTGGGCACCAGGGAAGGCATGAGGTCTAGTGGGAGTCAGGTGCTTAAACCCCCTGGCTTGGCATGATCAGAGGTGTAGACTGTCCTGCCAAGGTGCTCTTTCTGGAGAGTGTATGTGTGACACAAGCTTGAGGGAAAGAATGCTTGTCACAGCACACTGCCTGCTCACCAGTCCACTCTCCTTGGCTCTATGTTCCCAGTAGTTCTGCAAGAGAAAATCGGAGTGGACCCTCCTTCTTCAGCTTCTCGTTGCAGTTCATTATTGTCTTGCTGTCTGGGTAGTAGGACACTGGACTTCTGTCTCCTTAGTCAACACTTTTTAAAAATAAATTTTAGAATAGTTTTAGATGCACAGAAAAGTTGTGAAAATAGTGGAGTTCCCATGCCCAGTTTCCCCTTTGTTAACATCTTGTTAGTATGGTTCATTTGTTACAACTGATGAACCAATATCACTACATTACTATTGGCTAAAGTCCATACTTATTTAGATTTCCTTAGTTTTTACCTAATGCCCTTTTCTGTTCCCAGGTTTCATCCAGGATACCACATTGCATTTAGTCACCATGTCTTCTTATCTCCTCTTGGCTGTGACAGTGTCTTTTACTTTCCTAGTTTTTGATGATGTTGATAGTTTTGAGTAGTATTGTCTGGCATTTTGTATACTATCCCTCAATTGGGATTTGTCTGATGTTTTTCTCATTATTAGACTGTAGTTAAGGGTTTTGCGGAGAAAGACCACAGAGCTACAGTACCTGGGCAACATTTTAATTCCTGTCACACTCCTGATGTGGCTAGAAGATGCTGTAAGTGTGCCCTATGTCTTGTGGGAATTCACATCAACATCAAAACATCAAGATAGAAAATAGGGGTTTCTCTTCTCCATCTCTCCCAGGTCAATGTGGACTTCCAATGTCTTGAGAATTATTAGTTTAGCTTCCGGAGTACTCGGCATTAATATTAACTACCACCTCATTCCTCTATAGCCATTTCTACTTCAGAGGGGACCTGCATGCACTGTTTCCCGTTTGCTCATCAGATTCACTCTGACAAAGGTAGAGGGATCCCCATGATGTCACTTCATGACTCTTGGACCCCACAGCAGCTAAAAGGTGGCTCATCGACAGAAAGGATTCAGTGAGTTTTGTCAAATTTCAATAACCAATTTCAATATCCAGAGTTAAAGTTAGTACAGTGGGACCAGTAGCTCCTAGGGCAGGCCTTGTCATGTGTAGATCAATCAGCATCAGGGTTTGTACAGACATGCATGTGTTCCTAGTGGCTTCCCCCTGGCCATAGCAACTGCTGGCCTCATCTTCTGGGTGCTTTCTGGCCTCCTATTTTCTCCCAGAGGGAGATAGATGATTTCCTTCATCATTTCAAGGGGCTTCATATCACCAGGCTCAGTGGTTGATTTGTCTGAGGCAGTGATTCTCTGTTCTCTGCTGCTACCCCCTTTAATGCTAAGATACCTCAGGTGCCTCCACAAAACTCAGGGAGGTTGTGGAATGTTGAAAGTAGAACTGATTTTAGTTCACCTGCTTTTGCTGCTTTTTGAACCTAGGTGTTACCCAGCACTGTGGGTGGGAGGGAGTTTCAGGTCAGCTATGGAGAAGGCTTCAGAATGAAAGGATTAGGTGTCTAGACTCAGTTTGCAGTCACTGTTGGAGGCTCACTGATGACTCAGGTGTGAATTGGCAGCCTGTGTTCACTGTGGCTGGGCAAGGCCTTCAGGGACTTTTTAAAAGAACCTCGTTCTGTATAGACAATGTTTTTCCTGTCTTTTGAAGGTAGAGGAAATTCATTTGTGCCAGACTTCAGCCGAATATGGTATTCAAGTAGACTATAGGCTTTGAGTCACGAAAATATGGGTTTTCTCTGTTTTCTTACGCTCTGAGACTTTGTCTCAGGGTGAGAAAATAATGTTTTAAGATTACTAGAAAGAAATTCTGACTGTAGCCTTGGATTCTATGGCTCAGTTAAAGAAGAAACTGAGGCAAGGTGCTGAACTCTCTGCTTTATCAAAGGCGTGGCTCTTGCTCAGAATCATGTCTGTAGGCTCAGTTCTCCGGTCTCTGCAGCAGCAGGAATCTCTGCCTGGGGTTGGTGATAAGGAGCTCAGAGGGGATATCCTCACGTTCACTGGATGCTGAGAATACAAGTTTGATTCATGTGCTGGGTACAGAGAAAAAGGGCAAAACCACCAATATACATTAATCATCAACATGTATGACTAGGTGTCCAACCATAAGGGAAAAGGCCTTCAGGGACTGTGGGTCTTCCATCAAGGGGTTCTCAGTGTGGTGGAGGAGGGGCTGTGTNGGGCATTCGATGTGGGTCTTCCATCAAGGGGTTCTCAGTGTGGTGGAGGAGGGGCTGTGTCTAGAGATAACCATAGCACAAGGCAGAAATTAATATGCATCATAAGTAAAGACTGAGTCACAGAGGAAGTGTCTTTTTATAGTTATGATGTGATTTAGATATGGTCTTAGGAGTAAAACCTTGACAAAAAACCCTAAATGATTGGCAGCAGGAAACTATGACACATCCATGCAAAACTATGTTATGAAGCCATTAAAAGAAATAACATTTCCAAAAACATCTCTGAAACATATTGTTAAGTGAAAAAAGATGTAGAGCGATGTATTGTATGATCCTATGTGTATGAGAAGCGGACACACATGCACATATACACAGGTGTAATCACACATACAGTATGTTTAAAATGTATAATATAGTGCTTAACATGTGTGTGTATCATACTTAAAATATGTGTCTAAAATATTTAAATAATATATTATTTTTAAATGCTTAAAATATTTCCAGATGAGTCACAAGAAACTGGGAACAATGGTTTCTTTCTGAGGAGTGAGACTATTACTTTCCATTTTGTATCATTCCGAATGATTTGATGTTTAAAACCATGTACATGTATTTTTTTTCATTTAAAAAATATCAGTGTATATCTTTTTTTAAGAAAATATTTACAACTTTTTTTTTCTATTCTGGTTTAGAACATCTTTCTGCATATTGTGGACTTGTCTGATCCCAAGAAAATTTGGAAATTTGTTGAAAATTTCAAACAGAAACATAAACTCAATTTTCTGGTAAGCTTTATAAACATAAGGAGAAGCCGAATCTCTTTATATTGACCTTTTAGTAAGAATCTTTCACTCAGTCGTTTCCACTTATTACATTCAATCTAATGAGCACATTGCTTAGGTCTGTGGGGAAAGGAAGGGGCTAATAATAGGGTAAGTACCTTGGGAGGATAAGGTTGTTCCATTTTTCATAAAATGACCATTTTTATATCTGTATTTCTGAGCTCCAGAGATTTGGGGATTGGTATATTAAAATTAGATGCTCATGGAAAGAAGAAAATAAAAAGCTTAGTCTGAAAGAATGCCTGCTGCAAATAAGCAAATCTTTTGATAGCACAGTCAATGTGGAACTCCAGAGAGCCAGGAGGACACAGGTGGAACAGTGTCTGGCTGTTCCTCCCAGATATTTCACTTTGAACTGAGCTGTTGTTCTACCCAGATAGTTTCTAAAGTGCTCCAAAATGCCTGTGTGGGCCAAGGTTCAGGCTTGTGCTGTCTGGTTGGCTATGGAGCATTTGAGATGAAACTAGTCCAAATTCAGACGTGCCATAAGTATAAAAATCAACTGAGTTTGGAGATGTAGTGTGAAAAAAACCTATTTGTAATATTTTTATATTGATTACATGTTGAAATGATTATTTTGGATATATTGAGTTAAATAAGATATATATTATTAAAATTAATTTTACCTGCTTTTTACCTTTTTAATATGACTACTTTCTAGAAAACTTAAAATTATGTATTTCTCCTAAATGGCACTGGTGTATACAAATTCTCAGAGCACCTTATTATGAATTAGGTTGCCTGGCCAAGCCCTCATAATTGAAGATCTCTTCACAGTTCTATGGCTGAGCCTTCTGCACAAGTGGCATTTTCCCAGAAGAGGTTTGGAGTGAAGGGACAGTTGTTGTCATTGTCACTTGAATGTGGGACTGGTGGTGGCAGTGGAGGTTTGGAAACAAGTCCTTTGGCCCTATTTTCTTTTCTTTTGAAATGACAACTGTAATTTCTAGATCAGTAATGCAGGTTGCATGGTCAATAAAAGAGACCTCACAAAAGATGGACTTGAAAAAAACTTTGCAACCAATATTCTGAGTAAGTATATGCAGTTTTATTGTTTGTTTTAGAAAAATAAACATAGACATAGATGACACCACAGAGGATCAGAAAAACATCAATCAACCTTCTGGGCCCTTGGTCCATGAAAGGACTGCATTTGTTTTAAGTTTATCCTTCACTACATTAAAAAGCATTCTCTTATATAATATGTGTTAATGCCAGAAATACTTAGTATTGTTAAAGCATTTCTTTTTCTGGTAAGTTCAAGGCTCATTATAGACATCATTTTGGCAAGGAGAGCAAGTTCATCTCAGGTAGAGAGTGCAAATATAAAAACTGCAGCCAAGGGAACTTCCAGCCAGGGCTGAGGAGGGTACAGCCATGAGAAAAGACCACAGATCAAGAAGGGCATTCGCTTAGAACACGGGACACCTGGGGGCTGCTTCCTGCTCTGTAATAACAGACTGGCTCATTTTATGCCAGGCTAGTGGTTCTCAAATTAGGACCTGCAGCATCAGCATTACCAGGTAACTTAGTAGAAATGCACATTCTTGGACCCCACCCCCAGATCTTCTGAATCCAAAAATCTGGCTGGGGGCCATGAAATCTGTGTTTTGACAAGCCCTCCAGATGATTCTGTGCACTAAAGTTGGAGAACCAAGGTACCAGGCTTTTAACCTCTTTGGATGTTATCCTTTTAAAAAAAAAAATTTATCTTTATTGTTGAAAGTATTACAACAATACTTTTACTCCATTGACCCCCTTCACCCTGCTCCCACTCCCTCCCCAGGCCTTTACCACACTATTATCTGTGTCCATGGGTTATACATATATGCATATAACTTCTTTGGTTAAACTCCCTCTGCCCCCCTTCCCTCTGAGATTTCTCAGTCTGTTCCATGCTCCCATGTCTCTGGATCTATTTTGTCCGTAAGTTTATTTTGTTCATTACATTCCACGTATAAGTGAGATCATGTGATGTTTGTCTTTCTCTGGCTGGCTTATTTCACTTAGCATAATAATCTCCAGGCCCATCCATACTGCCCCAAAGGGTACCAGATCCTTCTTCCTTATAGGTGCATAGTATTCCATGGTGTAAATGTACTATAGCTTTTTATCCACTCATATATTGCTGGGCACTTGGGCTGCTTCCAGATCTTAGCTATTGTAAATAATACTGCTATGAACATAGGGGTGCATATATTCTTTCAGATTGGTGTTTCAGGATTCTTAGGATATATTCCTAGAAGTGGGAACACCGGGTCAAATGGCGGTTCCATTTTTAATTTTTTGAGGAAAATCCACACTGTTTTCCATAGTGGTTGCACCAGTCTGCATTCCCACCAGCAGTATACTAGGGTTCCCTTTTCTCCACATCCTCACCAGCATTTGTTTGTTGATTTAGTAATGGTAGGAATTCTGGCAGGTGTGAGGTGGTCCCTCATTGTAGTTTTAATTTGCATCTCTCTGATAATTAGTGACGCTGAGCATTTTTTCATATGTCTCTTGGCCATTTGTATGTCCTCTTCGGAGAAGTGTCTACTCAGGCCCTCTGCCCATTTTTTAATTGGGTTGTTTGTCTTCCTTGTGTTGAATTGTATGAGTACTTTATATATTTTGGAAATTAGCCCCTTATCAGATGTATCATTGACAAATATGTTCTCCCATACAGTGGGTTCTCTTTTCATTTTGATGTGAATTTCTTTTGCTGTGTAGAAGCTTTTTATTGTGTTATAGTCCCATTTTCATTTTTTTCCTTTGTTTCTCTTGCCCTAGGTGATGAGAATTCTGCTATGTGAGATGCCTGAGATTTTGCTGCCTATGTTTTCTCCTAGGATTTTTATGGTTACATGACTTACATTTAAGTCTTATATCCATTTTGAGTTTATTTTTGTGTATGGTGTAAGTTGATGGTCTAGTTTCATTTTTTTTTTGCATGTACCTGTCCAATTTTCCCAGCACCATTTATTGTAGAGACTGTCTTTACTCCAGTGTATGTTCTTGCCTCTTTGTCAAATATTAATTGAATGTAATGGCTTGGGTCAATTTCTGGGTTCTCTGTTCTGTTCCATTGATCTATATGCCTGTTCTTGTGCCAGTACCAGGCTGTTTTGATTGCAGTGGCTTTGTAGTATAGCTTGATATCTGGTGTTGTGATCCCTCCAACTTAGTTTTTCTTTCTCAATATTTCTGTGGCTATTCAGGGTCTCTTTTGGTTCCATATAAATTTTTAGAATGTTTGTTCTAGGTCTGTGAAATATGCCGTTGGTATTTTAATAGGGATTGTGTTGAATGGATGTTCTCCTTCTTGAACCAAGGGGCTGGAGGAGATTATTTCAGTGCTGTTCAGCTTGGAGATGCAATGAATCTAAGATTCTCCCCAGTATCTATACCACTTTCTCATAGTAAGTTAAACTTTTAATGAGGTGTTTTAATTAAATATCATCCTAAGTGACAAGATGGACAGTAGGGGTTGATGTGGTTGCTGGGGTTGTTGAGGGTGTCCATTAAACAGCAACCCTCCTCCCAGCCAAGAACTGAACAGATTGAGGAGTAAGGCAATGGAATAATAGATGCAAGTCAAAACATCACTGTTGTTATTATAAGGCTAATTGAAGGGCATGCTCAGTGTGAGAACCAAGTGGGCTTCCTAGTATTAGACCCAACAGTTAGACTCATCTTATTGCAGCTAGCTGGCCTAGGACAGCCACCACCACCTCCTTTCCAGGGAGAGGAGAAAGGGGCAGCAGAGATGAGTATGCCCACTTTGTTGCTCCCAAGTTTACTAAATATATTATTAAGTGATCCATTTCCCAGGGATGGAGGAAGAAGAGGGGGAGGGAGGACAGAATTGTATTCTCTCCATGAGAAAGGAAACATCCAAAGGAAATAAGTGAGGAAGAACCTTTCTCCCCAGTGATGAGGTTGCTTTTTTTTTTTTTTTTTTTTTAAACAAATACCTAGCAGCTTGCTGTGAAATTATGCAGGTTTAGTACAAAATATTTCCATCTTTGACTTTGGTCCAAATGTGGTATTATTGCCCAGGTTCCTGTATGTGGGATTGTGCTCAGTGTGTCTTACAAGTCTGTTGGATGGCAAAGACCTCTGGAGTGCTGCAGATAGCCTCCCAGGTACCGCTTAGTTGGACCAACTCTGTGATTTGTGGGACCCAGTGCTAAACAAAACTGCAGGGCCCCTTGTTAAAAAATTATTAAGAATTTTAATATAATGACAAGAGATCATTAAGCCAAATGTAGGGCCCTTCAGTAGGACTGCACAGGATGAATCAGTTCTGCTGCTTACCTACCCATCCAGAATTCTACTGGGTGTTTCCTGCATGCTCAGCACTAGTTAGTGTGGCGCATCTACATATGTGATGTAAACCTCATGACCACCCTGTGATGGAGGTATTCCTACCTATACATAGCATATAAAAACTAGTACTGAGAGAGGTTGCATACATTGGCCAAGGTCAAGTGGAGGAGCCAGAATTTTAACCCAAATCCATATGCCTCCACAGCCTATGTTCATATCCAGGACACAATTCTACCAACCACCAGCATTTCCTCCTCAAACTCAGCACTGTATAATCATGAAATAAGTTCTAAGGGACCAGCCATGCCAGGGAGAGGATGGGCCACAGCTGGGGGCACTACTTAGAGGGCAGTCTGATATGTTTACATTAATTGAGAACATAGATTGGTATGATAGACTTTAAAGGCTGCCTTTTGATATATGGCTAGTTATGTCATACTTTTGTATGGATCTGGTCTGCTTCTAAGAACCTTGATATCTCTTCACTTTCATATCCTTTTTGTGTCAGAAACATTTTATCGATCTCCCCAACCTCTCTGAGAGGCATAATCATTCTCATGTTTTGATATCTAGTCATCCTCTCTAGAGTGGAAGACAAAGTACACTGAACAAAGAGGCGCATCACTGATGGA